CACACACACACACACACAAACACACACACAGCCTCTCGACGATATGCGTTTTTACTGGCTGTAGCAGCGATATAGCGAAAACACATAAAAATAATTGTAAAAAATATCAAATGAACGAAAAACACCGCATGCTGTTGATAACAAAGACTGCACGTGTGATAAAATTCAACCACAGTTCTAAGCAGCCTACCTTTGAGCCCAATTTGTAAAAACACAGAATCAGTAAATGCGCTGTAAAAAAAATACAACAATGGACAAGCAGAACATCCGGAAAATCATTTAAAAAAACCTGAAATCCAACGGTCTACGAAAAACATCAGAAAGCCAAACAATAAATTACTAACTGGCAATTTCCGAACACAGTCACTGATGTCTGCTAAAATAATAAGACCTTATACATGTCCACGAGTTTCTTCGTTTTTATACATTTTTGCCATGCAGCACTATGGCGCTCCTACAGGAGGCAAAAACGCATATCGGTGGGAGGTTGTGTGTGTTCGCACTTTTCGTCCCTCATTTTCAACTCGAGAACCAGGAAAGCTAAAAAGTTGAAACTCCAGAAGTATGTGCCCACTCCTTCTGCGACTCACCCGTCTAGTATTAACAGTTGCGAACACCACGGTTCACTTGCGGACGCCTCAAAAAATATGTAATTTTTTGAGCGGAAAATTGTTAAATGGAGGACCAGAAAGGTTAGGGAGATAAAATTTTAGGGGGATGTTCCCTGTCCAACCACAACTTAATGACTTCAAATTTAGCCCCCAGATGTACGTGGTCCTCACGTATGAGACGTAGAAGTTTTGAGGGGAAAATTGCTCACTAAACAGCCCAGTCATTTTCAATGAAAAAGCGTTCAACGAAAATTGTTCATTTTCCTTTATGCAAAATACACGATAATTTACGCTAGTAAATACAAAAGACAAATATAAATCAACAATTATTCATACAGTTAACGACCTAACTGCTTTAAGTCTGGTGCAGAAACGCACAATCGCAGCGACAAGCCTGGTGCGTCCCAACTTGGGGTTAATTCACAAGTGCCGAATCCGCCGCAGAATGCTATTTCCAAGGGATCTGATTTACTCTGCGAAAGGCGATAAACACGGCCAGTGTAAGAATAACGGCCAGGAGAAGGATACCAATCTAGCGCTGGATGTAACAATATCGTGCAAAAACGAACACCCACTATGTTCAAAGTTCGGTTTTGCCTTGAAATGATACGACGGCATGCTTTTTCATGAACTCAGTGAGATCGTCCAATTTACGATCCCCTTCATACTTGATCGGATGCTCTTTCTTTCCAACCGGTGCAAAATAAATGGTCGGAAATCCTTGCACCTCGTAGTTCTTTGGAGCATCATTGGCTGTTGCATCGATTTTCACAAATACCAAGTTCGGCTCTTCTGTTTTGAACTTCGTCGCCAACTGTTTGTATTGTGGCTCGAATGCCTGAAAATTATAATCTATTATAATCATGGTGCATGTGTATTCATTTGAACAAAACTGAAAGAAAAGAAAACTATAGGCTGAATGATGATGATCGAAAACTAAACTGTACCATGCATGTGCTCAATAAAAAAAACCAGGCTGGAACGCACCAGGCGAGCCGGCGCGATCATGCGTTTTTGCATCAAACTTTAAGGTACTCCATCAT